TGTACGTAAGTTTAACTGCGAAAACATGCAAAGCCGAGACAATTGTGCTTAGCTAGAGCTGGCAGAATTCTAACCACACTACGTGAATGCCAGGAGCTCTTTCTCTCTCTTTCAACATCCAAAAGCTCCCAGTTTAAATAATCTTAAAACTGATTTGCATTCTGGTGAGGATTAAGGAGGAATAAGTAAGAACAAAATCATAATAAGTGGTTAGTTTAAGATAAGTACCTTATATTATTATTAAAAATATGACTCACTTTTAATTTTGCTAACGTGATATATGTGTTTCTAATTATAAAGTTATGAAACAAATATTTTGATTTTTCCAAAAATCTTATCAAACAAATATTTAATGATTTTTTTTTTCAAAAATCTTATCAACCAAATATTTGTCTCCTTATATTCATACTCTGTTGTGATCCTGTATTCCAGAATCGTGCGAGATTGAAAGTAAAAAGGAGAAATAATGGGTTAGGTTAGGGTATGTGAATATGGCAAAGCCACGAGGCCTGTTTGTCTTAGAGGAGGGATGCCTTCGTGGAGGAAGGGAGGAAAACAGGCTGGTATTCACGTTACACAAATAGCGCATGCAATGTTTTTTAATTTCTGAAATTAGACTTAGGGAGGCGTTTGTCCGGCTGTCAGGAATGAAGAAAAAACAAATTGTAATAATAATAAATCAGACAATAATAAACATGAGAAAATGAGAGGATCTGAAAGGGTTCAGATTTGAAGGGGTGCCCAGAAGGCGTCTTTTAAAATTTAATAATTTTGAAATTTAATTATCAGTGGAGATTATCAATAGAGATGGCCGAAGTTAAAAAGGAAAACTTTTTATAAAATATTAGATTGAAATTTAATAATATGGTTTATCAGTGGAGATTATCAATAGAGATACTAGATGGCCGAGGTTAAAAAGGAAAACTTTTTATAAAATACTAGATTGATATACATTTTGACCACTAAGTTTTCAGTCTGTTTTGCCTCATGCACCCCTTTCATCCTTGCTAGAATCACCTTCCATCTCCTTACCAAAACGTACATTTATTAGTCCAAAGGGATTTTAATCCCGAAGGACTATTAGTTTCGTTTTGGCATTTTGCGTCGGACGGATAAATGTCGGTTCACTTTTCAAACTGTTGCCACAAAATGTTAGAGTCCTGCATTATATTTGAAGAAATTAAATAATGAAAAATCTGCATAAATGTATGTATATTTCTCGTATTGTGATAAAACAACGGTACATAGAGTCATCGAATTTTGAATAACGTAATCCTCCAACGAATATGAGCATGTGGAAGACCAAATTTGAAATTTGAAATTTGTTTTATGATCGATTTCCTATTTTTTAAAACTTTGACGAATTTTTGATTAACAAAACTCAAGGATTTCAAAGCGAAGCAATGGCAACGTTGTGCAGAAAAAACATTTTTATCTCCAGCGCGTGAGTCTCTGTATCGGAAATTCTGAAGATATGCTCGTTTTAAAACTATTTTGCGATATTGCTGTTGCACTGGATCTTATGGTTTAAGTGCGAGGAACATGATATTTAATAAAGAAAGGTAACACACAAAATGTTAAAAAACTCCCCTTTGGACGTAATTTAAAATCTGAAACATTTCAGATTTTGTTTTTTTAGATTTAAAAGTTTTTTTGCATATTTTATAATTTAACAGAAAAACATCAAGTAAGTGTTCTTAAATACAAAACTGGAGTTTTTTTTTTTTTTTTTTTTTTTTTTTTTTTTCCCCATAAACTAAATACTTGACAATTAGAAAACTGAATACATCCCCCCGAAACTACGAAATTCCCCGAGGGGAGAATTCTCTCCTTGCGATTTAGAACACCTTGTTTTAGGCTAACATCGGAACTTTATATCTTCTGTATGTCTGAAAAGTGAAAAAATATATAACGTAATGCTATATGCTTTTAATTAGATATGTTATGAATGAAATACGTTTTTATTTAAATAAATCTAATTAACGATTTAAAAAAATAATTCTTAAGAACTGCATCTATTGCTTTTTAATAGCTTAGTTTATCATTTCAAAAGTTCGATATTTGACGTCATTTTGAATTTGCATCGGTTGATAAATAAATTAGAGTACTTTGAGGTTTATTTTTATTTATTTATTTTTTTATTTTTATTTATTTTATTTATTTATTTATTTATTTTTTTATTTTTATTTATTTTATTTATTTATTTATTTATTTATTTATATATACAATATATATTATATATCTTTTTTTTTTTTGTAAGTTTTCAGAGTCTAAAACTATGTTATTAATATTCTCATGAAGTTTTTTATGTTAGACTGATAATCGTAAAAAATTGATTAAAATAAATATTTTTCATTTTTGATGAATTCAAATAATATTATGAGCCTGTCAGTAAGATCTCCATTTTGAAAAAAAAAATTATTGATCAATGTGTTTCGCAATAATCTGCATAAAAATGCTTGTCATGTAATAGTTTCTTAACACCAAAAAACATTTTCTAAACAAATGATTTTATTTTTAGTTAGGTACGAATGCAAACATTCCCCGCTTCGATTTGTGGACCCCCCCTGAGTATGATTCCGTATTTTAATATCAAATATTTAGGTCAGTTTTTGTTATATGGGAGTTGAGGATTTGTATGTTTTATTTTTTATGACGAGTACAAAATGTTCGATAATATAAGAACTAGAAGGATGTGTAATTTATTATATTTCATATTTTATACGGAATTAATATTTTTATTAAAAAATTCCAGAATAGGAATCTTTGCGCCATTTAAAAAATTGTAAGGTATTTTATGTTAATTAGCCAGTTGTTGTTATGTAAATCTTTACTGTAACTTCTTCTTTCCATAATCCTCACCAGAATGCAAATTAGGTATTTAACCTGAAGTTTTTTAATCTTTATTTTAGAACTTCTGGGAACCGTATCTTGCTGTTGAGTATATTTCGGCTTTAGCGTTTTGCAGGTCGATGTTTTAAAATGCACATGGTATGATACTGATCCAGCTTGTAGTGGAATTTTCGCTTATAGCACAAGTTATGTTTCTTCTACTTAACTTTAGACTAGATAAAAAGGTTATTTTAACCTTTTTCAATGTTTTACGAGTTGCATAAGACGTGGCGATGGCTCACTATTAGTCTAGTAGAGTCTGCTAGACTTAAGCTTCCAATTGCAGTAGGAACCCTATGACATTTTTGTGTGTATCATATATATGTGCAAAAAACAAAAAGAGTTTAGTGGCGCAATATGCTGCGAAAATATTTAAATAATCAAAAAATAGTAATGAAATCGAAAAAAGTAGTTTAATAGGAAGTATCTACATCAAAATTGAAGCAAAACAAAACAAAACAAAATCAATAAAAGTAATATACCAAATTGTTGAAATTCCTGTTCTTTTTGCAGGAGCAGCCGAATAATTTTCAGTAGAGTCAGGTGTTTGAATTATATCTAGATGGTTTTTAAAGAAGTCAAAAGAAAGTGCCAAATAAAAAATTAATTCAGTTAAAATTATTAATTGAAGTTCGTTGAAACTGCAATAAAATAAATTAAGGGATATCAGAAACCCCCATACCGACAATGTTAAATTAGCCATTTTCGATGTACCTTTTCTCAAAATCTGCTGTAGATATAAGCTTGAAATTTTTTCTGTAATTAAAGTATACATAACTGATTATACTGAAATGAGCTTTTAAAACATTTTGAATTTTAGAGTAAATTACAGAATATTTTGTTAGGCATAGTAAAATTTAGCACTTTTCTCACACAAAAAAATTTAAAAAAATTTTTTTCTAAGTTTATTACAAAAAGCTCATTTTAGTAAATATTAGGGAACCTAATAAATAAGCCATAAAAAGTTTAGATACCTTTGAGCAGTAGTTCCTGAGAAAAGGTACATCGAGTATAAAAAAAGTCACGTTTGGAGAAAACGCGTTTATATGTAAAAATCCTCATTGATCAAAGCAGTAGATGATAAATTAAAACTAGATTTTTTTACAGTTCTAATTTTCATAGAGATTAAAGAATGGTATTTTTTAGAAAGATAAAAGTGTAGAGAATTTGAAAATGCAAAAATTCGAAATCACATTTTTTTGAAGATTTTGGGGTTCCAACACCCCTTAAATGCAATAAATTTTTTTTAGATCTTTCAGTTTCAATTAATCATCGAGATGTAATCTGCTGCGACTCGACGCTAAAACAAAAAATTTAAAAAATGTAAAAGAAGAATTCTCGAAGTAAGAAACCAGAAAAACTATTGGGTAAATTAAAAGCAATGTGCTAAATATATATTTAAATAAAGTTTTAACCACGGAAACTTTGTAAAAGTTTGTTCTTTATTGCACTTTTAACATTTTATTTAGCACTTTCTTTTGAATTATTTCTTTATAATCATCCAGAGGTAATCTACGCGGCTCTGTTGAAAATTCTTCAACTTCTCCTTGTAATTAACCAAAGAATTTTCACCAATTTGTTACATTGTTTTTATTATATTATTTATAGAATAATTTTGCATGTGTTTCAGTTTGAGGTGTATACTTCTTGATAGACTATTAATCCCTTTTTCTGATTTAATTATTATCTCTTTAATATGTATATGTTCTGTGGATTGGGGGTTCCGTCAAAAATAATTATAGTTTCTAGGGGTCCACCAAATCGACTCCAAGTCGGTTGATTTAAGTTAATGAAAATAAACATACGCAATCATATTAAAGCCGAGTTCACAGTAAACTGGTGGAGAAGTTGTAACCGGTAGATCTTTAGCACAGCTTGACTTTATCACAAATTTTCCTTGAATCCTCAGAGTAAATGAGATTACAACTTAGGATAGGAAACTTCGGACGTAGCTATGCGGGCTTTTCTGTGCTTAATATACCTGAAAATCTGACCATTTCTGAATACATCATATCTCTACGATATTTCTGTGATCTAAAGTAATTTTTAGCTTATGCGGTTTTTTTTTAAAGAATTCATTTATTAATCCATATATTTTTCTTTTATAGGTACCATGGGCTCTGCAATGAATTACTCTGAGCGTCCGTATGAAAATCAAATGGTAATACGTCAACTTGAAAATTTTGATGTGTTTATTTATATAGTAAAAATGATATTGCAATTAGGTATAGTATAATACATTTGAATTCCTAAGATTTCGTATATTTGACTGATAGAAGGAAGACCGGAAGCTTTATTTTGACGTATCACATTATTATTATTTCTATTATTCACTATAAGGTCGTTGCGCTTTATTTTCTCTAGCACTGTCTCTCTTTAGCTAACTATTGTAAAAATATTAACGAATAACCGTATTTCCTCGCGTGTACTTCCGCTTAGCTTTTTAGTGGCAGCTTCTGAAAATTTTTAAAAGTATTCGTATAATTTTGAGTGCTTTTAGAGAACGAACTTCCCTGAACTCGAAAATAAATTCGTCCATGTGTTTACTAACAAACACAAGCCTTCGCAAACGACCTGCAAAGATCATGTCGAACGTTTCCATTGTAACCGAACTTCATGCCTGCATAATGCAAGAACTGACCCATCTTAGCGAGGTAAACACGAACCGACATTCAGTCTACGATTTCGCTGAGTCGACTGCCACATTCAAGTTCTCTATTTCTGTATGAATGGTCTGAGGCTTAAAGAGTAGCAGGGATAACGATAAGGGCAGAGGTAAAGATAAGGGCTAGGTTCAAGTTGCAGGGAAGCAGAAATGAAGGTATCTTATTATATATTGCAACGTTAATAGCATTAGGTAGCATTATTCGAATGTATGTTTTTTTTAAAGAAAACATATTGTGATAGTTACTAGTAGTGTATCCATGACTACTTTTCATTGTGTTCTTATCGTAACCACGTCCTTCGGAAGTTAAATCATTAGCGTAATTTCACCCTCTCAATTTTCGGACGATCAGATTAGCAAAAAAAAAGTAATACTCTATGGAATACGGTATTTCAGTGGCAACAATAGAGCCTATCTTAGTTAATGCAGTGTAATCTATTTTCGGAAGTGGAAAGATAGAATACATCTCAATAGGTCACTCAACCGTATGAAATAAATAAGTAATTGATAACTGTATCAAGCAGTCAATCGATTCACAATTTGTGTGTATTGGCTTTGAACAAGATAAGTGATAACTTCTGTTAAAATTTTATTTGTCTTTTAAACTTTTAGAACAATGTGTGTGAATAATTTAAATAATGATTGATCAGCGATATGAGGCACGTTTCCATAAATGTTTCAGCTTTCCAAGCCACATACTGTGCTTTGTGAAGCCAAAAAGGGAGTCTTTATGTAATTGAAATTGTGGTGTATTGATAAATTCGAAGGTGCATACCAAGTAATTCCCCCCCCCAGCTGCTTGTGCACTACAGGCTTGACCAGGAGCTCCGAACGGGGTCGGTATAGGCCCTCTGGGGTCGAAAAAATTTTAAAGGGATCATTGATGACCAAGGGGTCGATTAGCCGGATATACGTCGGCAGTTGATCGTCATTATCTACATTCTATTGATTACATAGAAAAAATATTAATAAAATAAATAAATAAATAATTATTGATACAATGCTGTATTATGTAGTAAGGAAGAAATCGCATAATATTGTACTGTAGCGTGGCCCCAACTTGTCAGCAACTATGGTAGTGACTGCTATGAACTGTAAATTACACAAACTCGTAAGAAGGGTTTATATCCCTTTTTATTCCACTTTAGAAATAACAGCTGCGTTCACATGACGCTCACAAACTACGCCGACCCGGCGGTTTAACAAAAACAGAACTGTGAAACTAAAAATTAATGACAGGATGAATAAACAACTAGATCACTACCTACGAGGCTCCGAAATCGTAACTAACTTAACCGCTTTCTAAAATGCAGCTGAGATTCAGCAAGCTTATTGATTAAGCAGTTGAAAGATTCAACGAACTGCCGAGATGGGCACACAGGCCGAAACGCGCGGTTCTTAAATTTCTACCTAGCAACCTTCACGTTAGCGATTCAAGAAGCACACATACAATCTCGTTTCCCTTCTATTTAAACTCAACTTACTTCTGCTAAAATTTGAATATACTGCGCGTTCTACTACAATTTACATACTCTGGCATTGGCAATTCTAGGGGAAAGTAAAGGCTTGACAGGAAAGATAGCTTAAAATAAATGTTAGTTAAAATAAATATAAACCCTACAATATAAATGGGGAAAATACTCTAAAATTACTTAATATATTTAAAACTTCAATTGTATTCTTATAAAATATATAATTTTTAATGTAATAAGTACTGCATAAACATGTAAAACGATAAAACACAAGAAAACACAATTTTAAAAAATACGAAGAACTCAAAAACTAGAATGGAAAACAAGAAACCAGCTGAATATTTTTGAACGAGATGACTTAAAAAGCATAAATTAAATAATTTTATGCCAAATAATAAAAAAATACATCATTAAATCGAGCGCAACCATCATATTCGTTAAAATCTAACTTAGAATTGAATGTCATTAGGATCTTTTCCCCCCTGAAAACATCTTAATGTGTGTAAAATTAAGAATAATCATAATACCAAGAATAATTAAACTTAAAATCTAATAAATTCTTGTTACGAAACTTTTGTTCCAAATTATTTAGTGTAGTTATTTGTATTGTGATTATGTTGTATGCTGTATATTGTAGAAAAAAAAAAAAAAAAAAAAAAAAATCTAAGGGGGTCGATGAAAAAAAAAAAGCATTCCTTTAAAAGGGGTCGATACAAGAAGAAGTTTAAATTTATTTGTAAAAAACATCTACTAGAAAAGAAATGACTCCAGATTTGTTTTTCTCGTATACTGTTGTTTTCCTATTCCAAAACATGCTTGCTGTAAAAAAAAAGTACAATCAAAATATTCCTTAAAATGAAATAATTAATTCAAAACGTGCTAAAAACGAAGTTATACGTAATTTATAATAATTCGGACATCCAAAATTTGTGCTGAGATATTTTTATAGATCGCTTTTACTACATTTTATGAATTTAAATGAAAATGTGTCATAAAAATTATTGTCTGCAGTTTAAAAATGTTACTTCTTCAGCAAGAAACTTTAGTTATTTTAGATTTGAAGGGAACATGGCAGGACGTTACCAAGTACCATAAACTTAATAATAAATTTTAGAAAATTTAAATTGAAATTGCTAATGTAAAAAGCGTTCAACTTTTCTTCGATGTTGCAGAATGATGCATATTGAATGGAACTGTTGAAACGTCCTTAAAACAGGAACCGAATTTCAAAGTACGGAATCCAAACTATCAGTTTTCGTGAATATTGTATATGTTTATTTCTTTTAAAAAAATCAGTAATTTCATTCTGTTTTTGTGGAACGTTTAAAAATTTGTCGAATTTAATTGCGTATTTTTCGATAAGCTATTTTATCATTGTGTTCGAATCCCCCTATGTCGAATAAGTCCTATATAGAGTTTCAACAGAAATCAATGGATAGCTTGAGTTATCCGGATAATTAAGAGTACATTGTGACAGTAAAGAATAAGGGTGCCTTCCTACGGAAGTATATTCTACAGTTTATTTCATTGATTATCTAAAGGAAAATTAAACAGACTTAACGCTTGATGCTGCGAAACGTGCAACTATATTTGAAGAACGAGTTTGACAGTGAATGTTAGTTTTGTAACTGTCAGATGAATCACCGAGGCATAGGATAAAATGTTCGAGTGTTAGGAAATGCTTCGTTAAGAAGAAATTTGCATTAAGCTTTGAAAAATCCAAAGTAAGCAGACATAGAATATATTGGAATAATGGGATATTTGGAGTCGAATCAAAGTTTAATATATCGTATTTTCCTTCGTATTTCCCCTTTCTTTTAACTAATTTATCGTCCGAAAATGGAGAGGGGGGGGAAATTATGCGAGTCATTTCATTTCCGAAGAACGCTGTTACGTTAAGAATATAATCAATTAAAAATGGTCATGGAAAAACTACCGGTAACTTCACAATATTATTTCATTAAAATAAGCCTACATTCTAACAATGCATAGTAATGCCAACATTACATCAAATATTATTCAATATTTGATTGGTATTGAGCTGATAAGTAACTTATAAGGTGATTATAAGGGTAAGGTAAGTGATAAAGGTAATTAAGGTATATAAGGTATATATACCTTATAAGGTGATTGAGGTAACTTATAAGGTGTTTTCTCCCTTCTTTCTGTATGCCTTTGTCCTGTAACAATAGCACACGCGGCGCGTATTCGAGAGGTCAAGGTTCGAATGTCGGCGATGCATTGCAGGTTTTTCATGTCTTCTGCTTCAAAATATCCTATTTACTCTACAAACTGAGCTGGACGGTAACTGAGCCTTTTCGGCTTAGTTACCTTGTAAAGCCTCTTAAGCACCTCACATGAATTAGTCTTGACCGCAGTTTCCAAGAAAGATATCGGAGGAAGAGAGGAGGATGAGGCGAGTAGAAGAAGCGGATTTCGAAAGATCGAACGCATCCAAGAGCAGATAAGGAGATGGAGCGTAAATAATAGAAGTAAGGTAAAATCGCATGTTTGGAAAGTTTCTTAGGCATGAAAACACCTTCCATGTCCTGGTAGCTTAACGAAGAATCTGCACAAAATACGTTTAAAATAATTGGGTTAAATGTTAATACAAAAGTGCAAATATAAAATTGAGTAAAAATAATCAAGACAAAACAATTTACCAATAAACTAGCCTTCAGAGACAAAAACTGTGTGCAGTAGAGGAAGAGGAGAATCATGCGAATGTTTGTAAAATTTTCAGAACATAGTTCTAAAAGCTAGAGAGGCAAATACTTGAGGGAGTACGGTATTCGATTTACTCTGTGGTCAAACCCCAAAGAAGAATTAAATCCGAAAAACTTGTCTGCTCTTTAAAACGAAGGTGCACGTAGTACGGTGTGTGAATATAACCGCCGGATGCCAAGAAGGAAATTCTTAACGAACAATGAGAGAGGAAGTTAAGCCTTTTGTTTCAAAATTGCAAGGAAAGCTGTATCGTATCGGTACAATGTAATATTTGCAGTTGAAATGAAATGTAACATATGGATCCGAAACTAAGAACGAGGTTATGATGAACGAAGTGCGGTTGCGGTCGCACTGAACGTTATGTTAACGAAGAACGAGGTTATGATGGCGAAATTCTAACGCAGGGGCTGTCAACGGTATTGACCACCAGGGGTTAATTGAGGATCAAGAGGTCGATTGGGGGTCGACAGCCAAATACGCACTGGCCATTGATAAAAAATATTAATAAATTGATAATTAATTTTTAGTGATATCAAGCTATATTATATAGTAAAGAAGAAATCATATAAGATAAATATCAGAGGAAAAACGCAAGAAGAGTTGATTTCATTGATGCGGGATGTTGAAGTTTGTGTCTTATTCAAAACACATGTATACGCTGTTTTGGAATTTAAATATCATCTGAGAGAAATATCCTCAAATAAAAGTTGTTACCGGACCAACATTATTCACTTTTTCTCTTCTTATCTGGTAAAAACAGCTTTAGTCAAGTCTAACGAAAACGGTTATATATTTTTGTTCGAGACGATTTAGAACGCAATTTTATGCCAAATATTGAAAAATTGTATCAGTACATCAAGCGCAGCCATCCCATTCATTAAAATCGAACTTTAGAGCAAAACAGGATGTGAAGTTTTTACAGAAAACTTGTTTATATTTGTAAAATTAGTAATAATGATAATACAGAAAATAATAAAATATTAATCTAATACATCCTTTTTTTTTTCTAAACTTCTGTTCATATTCTTAGTTTAATTGTTATTTTCAGGTTATTTACATGCAATTATATGTATTATGTTGTTATGCTGTCTATTATAGAGAAAACTAATTTTTTAAAAATTCGAGTCGATGCAAGAAAAAGGTTGGGTATCCCTTTTCTAACGAATAATTGAATCTGAAAACATTGGTGCCTCCACGGAAGGGAAGATATTATTATTTGGGGAGGTTTTACTGCCTTTGGCATTTTAGAAACATAAAAAATTCTAAATGAAAACATAGAAACACATGCGTAAAAATTGGGAATGCAAGTGCATTTAAAGATCTGTCAGGTAACGAACAAATGTTTGCTAAACGTTTGCTTATATGGCTGTTTAATGACTGCCCTGAAGTTAAACAAATTCCTCTGAATTCTTCGGTCTTATACTTGAACATGAGCTTTAGAAGACAACAGGGAACATAGTATTGTTATACAAGAGCCCAAGTTAATGTAATTTTTACAGAGAACAAAATTCAGCATTAGTATGCGGAAAAACTGGTTGAATCTATGACAAAACGCATGAAAAGTATAATTTTATTTAAAGGACCTCCAAATGAATATTGAATGATAATTTTGCTAACTATTAATTGTTATTCTAAGTGTCCGAATATATGTATGAAGTCATTTCCAGGATTTTATGGATTTTACTTGATCTGGAATCGAGTCGAAGCTAAACATTTTGCCGGTCGGTGCAGACTCCGGAAATCCAAAATTCTGGCGCCCGGGTCCTTCCTAAATTCTAAAAACTTTGCCTTCCCTAAATTCGTCCGGCCGTTGCGGTCGCACCGGTTGCACACGCTCCGGCGTAAATAACCCCCCCCCTCAGACTTTATATTAAACAGAAATTAGAACATAAATGCCCTTGTGATAACAAAAACAGCCACAACTCGTGGTAAGGCAACCAAATAAAATCAGTCAAATTTAAGTTAAACATGGAACATTAGTCAAAAACTACACAATTAAAGGTTACTCTAAGCCGGCTTAGTAATTCTAACAGGAGCGTAAAAATCATCTTGTCGGCAACGAATAACGCAAAGCCGAAAATTTTGAACCATCAGAGCTGGTAGGAACTAAAGTAGCGTGCACGCGCAGCCAAAAACATAGTGTCTTAAAATCTAAAAACTTTAGTTTAAATAAACTCATTCGCATTATTGTGAAGAAAACAGAAATGAGAAGTTAAAGTAAGGCTCCATATCATAAAAACTTGGTTATTTGAATAACTGTATAATTTTTCAGTAAATTATTTTATTTTTTAAGAAATATTTTGAAAATATGTTTTTGCAATAGGATGTTTTAAATTGTTCAAACAGCAGTATGTGTGAAAAGAAAATTGAAGACGATTCTTTGATATTCATTTACTTGATTTTTGAAAATAAATTTCAAATTTCAAAAACATGATTATCCGAAAAAAAATGTGAACCACTGTAAATATTTGCGTTATGTTGAGAATTTAAAAGTTGTGTGTGTGTTATCGGTAATGTATGAAACGCCGGCATTCTATAGAACACCTAAACATTTTATAGAATGTCTAGCGTTTTTAGGCAAAGTATGAAATATGAGAATTACGTGCTTCACCTTTGCATTGTGTATAATACCTGTGCACACAATAGAACAATAGAACAATAGTACTGTTCTGTAGGTTGCAAAAATTGATAGGTCGCAAGGTGGATAAAAATTCTCAACTGATGGTACATATCTAAGGATTGACGCTCTGGTTCGAGTCGCGAAATCATTGTTTAGGGTCATTTGCACTTTCATGGGGTCGTACTGCCGTAAAGTTTCAATATCACTGCTATAGAATGAGAAATACTATTTAGGCAGATTATGTAAAAGACCATGAAAAGACTAATATTTAAAAGACGTGCATTCCTCAAAAATACAAATATTATTTTGGAAAAATAATGGTAAAGATGTTTTATACAAAATATCTAAATATCTAAAAGGCAGATAGCCCTCGAGTGCTTTGCCGTAATCTAATAAAACCAAACCAAACCAAAATATCTAAAGAAAAATAAAAATTGTGCATAAAATTTATGCTTTCTTAAAGAAAAGAATGTATTAAATGTATGCATTATGTATAAATGTAAGAATATTGCAAACGAACCGGACATGCATTTCATATTTTCTGATTTGTCATTTATCATTCTGTAGAATGCCTAGGAAATGTATGAAATGTTAATCATTTCATGCATTGCCCGGCTTGTATAAAATGCTGCCTTTCATGCATTGCCGGTAACATATGCACCAAGAATTGAGAATAATATTTATGAAAACATTTTATTTTTAATTAAAATAATATATTTAATTTATTTATAGACATTTTCATTTTATTACAGGCTTCACACTGTCAAACAAACAGCTATCCTTCCTACCAGCCTCCATCTCCTTACAGACCTCATCCTGTGTCACCACCTGCTCACGCTCATCAATATGGTGCGCATGGAGGACATCAGATGCATGGCAGTTTGGCAGCTGCCTATGGCACTAGTCACCAACTGGGTCCTTACGGCTCAGCGCCTACTTCTCATTATGCTTCATTAAGCCCGGACTTGTACGGAGGCAGGACCTGCATGTATAGCAGCAGTAGTGCTAGGGCTATGCAGCAGATGAAAGCAGCTTGGGGTGGAGATAATAACAGTAACAGCAGCACTGATATTATGCAGTACAGTCAACCCTCTCCAAGACCCATGATGCCTCCACCTGCCATACATTCACCCCCACATGGCGGCATGGGCGGTGCAACACCAGGACCTCCAGCACATTATCGTCAAATTCCCCTCGTTCCTTCCGCTGCTGGTCATTCTCCTCATTCTTGGTCTCAGTCACAGATTCCAAGTCCTGGTATACTCCAATCTCCAAGGACGACACCGTCTCCTTTGCCGGCACACTCGAGATCTCCTGTTGGAGGAGGGCAACCATTTAGCCCTCCTCCTTCAGCGCCGTCACCCCAACAGCCCCAACAGCAGCATCCTCCTCCATCAATGACTCCGCATCCGCCTCCACCGCACAAGAATACTCCATCTCCTCCTTCAGGGGCTACTACACCTGCTCCTTCAAATGGTGGTGCTCGTCAACCCTGTGGCAGTCCAATGGGAGGTCAAGGATCTGCCAACTCTGATCCGTTACAGTCATTGCAAAAAATGGTCATGTTGGACTCTGAAACTGTTGAATCTCCTATAACTAGAGCAAATTATGAAATGGCAGCAAATCAAGGCCCAGGAGGTGCAGCCGGCCCAACTGTTGCTGGCCGCCCCTCATCTTATTTTTCCGTAGAACAGTTGGCAGGTAGTGATCCAGGATCACCTTATCCAACATATTATAATCTTGATCAAAATAGGTTGTGCACACCGCCAAGGACTGCTATGTCTACTCCAACTAGTTCTACATTTTCTTCGGCACCTGATTCAACGTCTAGTAATTCACCTCGTAGTGATTCGCGAACAACTACAGCAAGCGCTGATTCATCCAATCATGTTGGTCACGTTAATGGTGAAGTGAATCCTCATGCTGTGAATCCTATTCCTGGCACAGGACCACCAGATAGCCAGCCACCACCGCCACCCCAACAGCAACAAGGTCCACCACCAAGGCGGTCTGATTTTGAAAACTTCGGAGTCGCCGATGTTAGAATGACAAATGGCAACCATCAGCCAGAGCCCTGCTGGACTCAGGGACGATCTTGGGGCTCCTTCAAGTGATTCTGAGAATAAAGACACTCAAGACTTTTTACAACATCTTGGCGGAGGAGTGCCACCACTACCAGAACCAGATGGTACTGTAGACTTACGACGCAAATCTCCCAAGTCACCAAGGGGTAGAAGGCGAGTTTTTGGCCATGATTTACAATGTGATCCTCTAATGGATAATTCTATGGATATTCCACGCAATAAACATATGATGATGGGCGAAGAGAGGAGAAATTCAACCTTGCCTGAATTCGAAATTACAAATGGTAAGCCCGAGCCTTGCGACGACGTGTACCCTACAGATGGAGGTTATACTCCCCGACCTCCTCGGTATTATAGTCCAACAAATCGTTGGAATAAAATGGGACCTTTGGAAGATGGCTTCATGGGAATGCAACAGAGCAAGCCATATCCTGATGATTGTCTTTCTTTGCCTAAACCTTCTAAAAGAGGCAGAAAAAAGAAAATATTTGACGGTGAGAGTGGAATAGTTTCTGAATGGGATATGTACAATTCAGAGATGGTACACCGTCCACCAAGAATATCAAGAGGTGGTTCGAGAGGCCGGAGGGGTAGCCGAAGACGAGGTGGAATCACTACCTATCCTGCTGGCAATGGTGAAGTGCCCATGGATATGTACTCCACTGATGCCATGTTATCAATGCGAAATCATCCCACCAATGGGATGGGGGACATTGTAGGGGGAGCCACAGATAAAGATATGTCTTGGGCTTCCCATGGTTATCATATGGGCCCTCCACCTACTGGTATGGGCGCGGACTACGGCTCCAAAGATAATATGTCTGTCATAAAGCCCCCTATGATGGATGCGCATGCCATGGACAATTCTTCCTTAAACAATAACCTCGCACAGTCTCAACCTCCGCCAAATTATCAAAGTGATGTTCCTCCCGATGACAGGGCTCGTGGCCCTTTGTTATTTACTGTTAATAAAGACGGTAGTACTGTTAAACTGCAGGACAGTGGACAAATGAACAGTAGCAATCAGCCTCAATATTATGATCCTGTGCTTGGGCAGATGATGCCTCAGCCAATCAAGAAAAAACGAGGTAGGCCGTTCGGAAGCAAAAATAAACCGAAGCCTCCTGGTGAAGAACGCCAACCACGACGGCGTCGGAAAAAAGAAGTATTCTTTGGTCCAGAAGGACCGCCTCCGCCCGTCATCAAGAAACGTATCATCAATGGTCCCTATGTCCACATTGTGGGCATAAGGAACAAACCTCTTGTTGTTTCCGTTGTGAATACTCCTCCAAAAGATGAAAATGCTGAAGCAAAGTATTGGCAACAAAAACAGCTTCAGTTTGGAGGTGTAATTCGACAAAATATGGGAATGGGTTCCAGTTCTGGCCTGCCACATATATACGACACAATTACTAAAGACAGAAGTTGGCTCTGTTCCCTTTGCTGTAAGAACAGTCATTATCGTGGGTTAGGTGATTTATTCGGCCCTTATTACCTGAATGGCGATCAAAAGCCGTCCAACTTCTCTGCCCCACCCTCCCCGGCTCCTATGTCAGCATTTGGCAACGAGTCCAGTGAGCCTGGTGACGAAATGGAACAAGAGGACAGTCGAGAAGGTTTAGCAGACCCAAGTTCTTGTTCCGATATGCCAGGGGTACGACGGTTTCCTGGGAAAAGAAAGTCAGATGTCATGGAACAAATGTTTCGTGCCGCACTTCTCAGAAAGGCTAAACAAGCTAATGTATGTATATTCTTAAGTATTTCTGTTTATTAGTTTTTCTCTTGAAATTTTATATTGCTGTAGTGCACCGTGTTTGTTTCTTATTTTGAAAAGTTAAAAATCAGATTTACTTTGAAAAATTAGAATCGTAATATAGATTTTGTGTAAATTTTTCTTTAATGTACATCATTTTTAATTATTTATCACGAAAGAAAAATGTCTTCAAATTTATAATCTTAAGTGTTTGGGCAATATTTTCATGCAGGTGACATGGGAGGCTTACATAGATTATTCGAGTTTTGTCCTCAGTCCGCAACTGCCTAGGAAAAGTTTATCTGGGCAACCTAAAAGCATCGCATCTATTCTGCTATGCTGTGCTATGCATTTTTATCCCCTCCCTCACGACTGAATGGCTCACTTTCTGTTGTTCTTCAAGCCATTTATGCCCAGCCAGTGAGAAGTTATCTTCTACTTGGACAAGCACAGCCCGAAAGCAGGGTCGGTAGGCAGGTCAGACGGACATTTATTTCTGTGTGTTAGTAGAATTGTTACCGTGAAAGACCGAAATTGGAAAATGTCGACTTTCACCGGAGAATGTCAACATTCACCAAATACGTCGGTGAAAGATCGAATATTTCTTTGCATTCTTGTACATTCGGACCCTCACCGGTGTATATATCGACACAATCACAGATATGCTCTGGTGTAGAGTTGAAAAGAGAGGAGTATATGTACACGCTGCCATTCCAAAAGGAAGTGTTTCACAAATAAATGCAGTTGTAAAAGCAAGGGCCTCTTGTGCAATTTCAAAGTGTCATAATAGTTTAAGTCTTATATTTTTAAGTTCTTATTTTGAGTCTCAAGTGCGTTTTTTCGCGAATGAATTATGGAGAAGGAAATATACTATTCTTATATATGTTCAACATTCACCATTAGTGCATGGTGAATGTCGACATTCACCGGTTTTAGTCAGAAATAAGAGTATTTGGAAAATATTTCGGACATACGCCAAGCGACTACGTGAATGTTGACATTCACCGGTGAATGTCGACTTTCTCCAGATTTCGGTGTTTCGCCGTAACAGAATTACAATAATAGTGTACTGATGCAGTTCTGCGTACATAACATGCAAATGGAACCTGTAGACAATGGAATTTTACAAATCTTGAAATTGGAATTTTACCGATATTTACAATGATATTTTTAACAGTTGTAGTTCCGGAAGACAAAATTTGGAGCAATGTCTTTACATTTGAATTTTGAACAGAATTCGGAATTGTGTTATTAGTACAGTCAGTAAAACAGTTGTACAATTAGTACAACTGTTTACTGACTGTACAAAATTATGCAGTTGTACAGTTACAGTTGTACAGTTAGTAAAATTTACAGTTGTACAGTTAGTAAAATGTTTTACACTTGTTACAGAATTGACATTTACAGTCTTCACAGGTGTTGCAACTCATCAGAGTTATCATTCATGTACTTAATTATCTGTTTCGCTCTATTTAGAACTGCTTGTTTGCCCGGGAGCACTTCTCACCATTTTCGTTCATTACTTCTCGATGATTTAGATAGATGTAGCCTTGCTGTTATTTGACAGCCGTGTAAGTAGTGCCTGAAGTCGTCTTCAATATCAGAGCAGCCAATGGCCGTTTCTGTTATGCCAAATCTGTATACATGTGCAGGGTGGGGTAATGACCTGTGTGTAGCTGTGTTGCATAACTGCAGTTAGTCTTGAGTTGTATGGAGACCTTTGGAAAATATTTATAAGTCACTCCATCAACATGCGTGTTGTGCCAATTCTCTTGTTGTTCTGATATGTTCGGAGCATTGGTATTGTTTTTGAGCTGACAGACTTGATTTGGAATGTAGTTGTGATGCGATTTGAGATCTGCAGCTTTTGCTAGTTTATCCGCAAGCTCATTTCCTTCTGTTCCGATGTGGGCTTTGACCCATCTCAGCTTAATCTTTCTTTTGCTGTGTGCAGTGAGATGGCAGCTGTCACGTATCAATGTTTCCTGTCAGTACCTCTTATGGCCTCTTATCTTATAGTACTGTAGAACCTGTCTGCGTTGATTATGATTTGTGTTCGATGTGCTAGTGCCCATTTGGTTGCTCGCTTAATAGCCATCAGCGCTGACTGAAACGCAAAGTTAATAGATCGTAATTTAGGACTCCAATCATATATACCGTCTGTGTTATTTTGAATAACACAAAATACACAGACTGTGTCTGTTTCCATTTTGGAGCCATATGTGTAGATATTTGTTAGATAAAACGCTCTTACGTTTATGGTGTTGGTCTCTGCAAATCATTCTGCTTGTTGTATATTGAGGATATTGACTTTAGTGTAAGTGTCTGACCTGATATAGAAATTCTGAAGGGGAATTACATCTTGCCGTAGGCTATTTATAGCCTTTTCTTTTAGTTTTCTGTAGATTGGCAAAATTCCAGCTAGGTTGAGCGATGACAATGTTGGGGAGGTTCTGTAATATTTAGTTATCAGTAGTGCGGATTTTCTTTGTATTTTCAGAAACTTCTTTGTCCTTGGGCTATTGATATTAGAGCCCCAAACCGATCTGCATTACAAGGTACAGTTACTGTTTTATAACCACGTCTTTAAAGAGACTAGGGCTGACTCCCCAAGACTTTGAGGTGGTGCATATTAGATTGGCTACCGAGATTTTATTAGCGAGATATTGAATATGAGGCCACGAAGAAATTTTATCATCTAAGATAACGTCAAGATATTTTAAACTATTGCGGATTCTTATACAAGAGTTCTGAATTCAAAAATTAAAGTACTGTGCGAGGTGACGTGGCTTTGTTAGAACTATGGCAACTGACTTTCTGTGGTTGCAGATAAGTTTATGTTGTTTACACAAGTTTTCTAATTAATGAACGGCCTTGTTTCTTGTTTTCATGTAGTTGGTTCCTAGATTTAAATCTCTTAAAATAACAAAGAAGTCATAAACGGCTTGGGTCTTTTTTTTTTCTTGAAAGATGTTGATTAGTCTCAGTGCTGATTCTGCCACAAAAGTTAGAGTATTGGACACTGCCTTGTAGACAGTCTGTGGCTGCTGGTCTCCTGAAAGCTCCTTCTGTAGATACCTCTATAGAGCGAAAATCCAATAGCTTGTATAATGATTTGATTGATATCGCTATGCATACAAATTTGTGCGAACTAGACGATGATGTCAGGCCACCAGATGTTAATGTACCTTTAAAATGTCGAGTGAAATTATGGCTATATAGACACCTATTCCCATATTGTCCTGGCATATATTATGGACATTGGCTAGAGCGTGGTTGACTGAGGTCCCATGTAAGTAACCAAACTGATTTGTTAGCGAACAGTTGATCGTTCAGGCCCCCTAGGGTCAGTTTTTCGAAGAACTTTCTGATGGAAGGAAGTAAATCGATCTATAGGAGCCAAGATCATCTCGATTTGTGCTTCTGCAGGAGCAGTACCACATCAGCGTGCTTAAGAAGGGTTGGAAAGCTACCCGGCGTCCAGCACTTGTTAAAAATTTTAAAAAGGATGTTGAACAGTGATCTGTGCACTTCATTAAGGATTATAATATCGATTCCATCGATGGAGGCTGCCTTGTGTTTAGGGTGGCTGCAAATGTGGAAGGTGGCTTCTGAGGTGAAGAAAAGAGGGCTATTTAAAGGAGGCAGGTTGTCATTGATTTCTTTGGCTCTTTCTGTGCTAATAGTTTGTTGTGGATTATCTGACTGTAAAATGTTCTGTGAGAAAACCTTGTGTTGGATATTGCGGGCAGTGTCCATTGTTGCGAATGTTTTAGAGAGAACTTCTACAGAAAGAGTGATAGGTCTAAAGACTTTATTGTGAACTATTTAAAAGATTATTTTAAATGTTTCAACTGTTCTAGTGCAAAAGGGTTTCCGTGAGCGACTTTTCGCATTTAAAAGGCACTTTTATGCGCCACTTTTTCACTTTTAAACATTACCCATCTTTTGGATCTTGACATGACTGAATTCGCTATTTGACTGCTTGCATGTGAGTTGCAGTGGAACTAATTTCATCGAGTTTTGTGATATTATTGAGGAAAAGTTTATGGAGGATGACATTAAATCAAGGGTAGCAAAGTTATTATTACTGATAAATTAACGGTTTTGATTTGAATACTTTTCATTAATAGTGGGTAAAAAAGATTCGTTTCACATCTTTTGACTGTAAATACATGCGTCATTAGCGTTATATAAGATTATAACACTTGGATTTATAATTTCTCCTTTTCGTTAGGTCTCACGAGGATGTAAATGAGATGAAGGATTAGTAGGGAAATGAGATTAAGGATTATTTAAGGCACAAGTTTATAATGTTTTAGTTGTCATCTTTGCTAGGTAGTATATTGGCATTAGGCGATCGCTAGATGAAGTTAAAATGCGCCATTGAAGTTTGAGCCAGGTTAGTCAGGCCAAATTTGTGTAGTTTCCGGCTACCAGCTCTTTTTTAAATTGTAAATTCATGGGGTAGTGGGCGCAGCATCAATGATCTATTCATCTTCCTCTATTCCAACAATATGGCAAAGAAAATTATCTCCAGAAAATTCTGTTTATCAAGCTGAGCTGTCAGCAATTCAATCTGCAGTAAATAAAGCTATATCAAATAATTTCAGGACAATAGCTATCTATTCAGAAAGTCAATCTGCATTATATATGCCCTGAAGGACAGAAACAATAAGAACCAACTAATTCATGATATTCAAAATACAATAAATGCCTACCCAGAAATCCAGTTTTTCCTCAATTGGGTGAAAGCCCACAATGGAAACGATGGCAACGAGGCAGCTGACCTCCTTGCAAAGGATGCAACGACTAACATCAACAGTGAGGTAATTCATGTCCCGTGGCCCAAGTCCCATTTAAAATTTACACTGCATGCGATTGTCGACTCTATGTGGCAAGAAGAGTGGAATTCTGCATTGCAAGGCAGAAGAGTCCACAATTTTTTTCTCAAAAACTGACAAAAGAGGCAGTACACTATGACCATG